TCGTTCTCGTGGAAACTTTCACTCTGATGAGGACCCCACTCAAAGGTTTTAGTTGGTTTTGAATTAAAGTTTTATTATTTTTTGTTGTACATTATTAGTTGAAGTTGCATTTGACCTTTGCGTGGTTAGGGATTTTGATTGGTGTTTGGGAAAATTTGGCATTTGGGGTACGTTTTGGAGCTTTGGTTTTGTTAAAAACATCTAAAAGTTGTTAAATTGTTATACAAGAGAACGACTGACTGTTCGGTCAACTGGAAAATGTGAACTTGCCTGGAATTTTAGTCAATCCCAGATAACTTGTAGGATTTGTATTTTCCCGAAAAATGTAGGGAAGCCCAAGTAGCAAGTTATAATTTTGCAAATGTTTTGATTTTATTTTTCGCTTTGTTTCTGCTCATCAGGCTGCCTGTATCCTATGGCAGAATTCTTTACTCAATATCCGTTTTGCTACTTGGATTCTACTGATGTTTCATTATCTTTTCAAGACGTTTATTAAGTTTCTCTGCTTACCAACTTTTGATCAAGCAGATCAAGGAGAAAAAAGAATCCTTCCAGTGGAGAAAATTTAGAGTCTTCAGCTGCAGGTACTTTCCCCACTATCTTGTAGTTATAAATTGAATCCGTTTAAAAGTGAGATGTTACAAATGGTTAGTAATTTGCTGTTTTGACTTCTTGTTATAGTGGTATTACGATGTTATAATCAGGCCAACGGAGAATCACTGTCGCCTCTTTGTCAAATGACATTCTTTATTTCATTTGTTATAATCATCCAAAAATAGTTATGTTTTCTTTGTTCATTCATTATTTCATTTCAAATTTTCGAAATTTTGGGTGCAGGTCAGGGAACAAGTGAAGGAAAAAGGGCTTACCACTGCAATTATTGCAATAAAGACATCACAGGGAAGGTCCGAATCAAGTGTTGTATGTGCCCTGATTTTGACCTATGTATAGAGTGTTTTTCTGTTGGAGCTGAGGTGACATCCCATAAAAGCAACCACTCTTACAGGGTTATGGTTAGTATTAAGATTTCAGTCTCTTTTTTCTTGTATCTTGTTAAGTAGAGTTCTGCGTGGTTTTTAATTATTTGATGAGCAATGTGAATGAAGTGTCTTGTAAATTAGAAACGAGTGTATCCCTGTTTAAGAAACTATCTAACAGCCAAAGAGTTAGACTTCCTTTTTCTATGAAGTTGAGAAATTGAGAGGAATATTGTCATCTAAGACTCTTATCTTTTGACTTACTCTTTATGTTCTTATATGTAACTGAAACTCTGTTTGTAAAATGCTTTTCTAATGGTAAAAACAATGTCCAGTCAGGCGTTTATTTTTTAACTTATTTCATTATATATTTAATTTTTCTCACAACAGGGTTGTTAGTCTAGTTTTTATCCAGTTATGATGCAAGTAATAGTGACAATGAAATGTATCCCTCGCTGCACTTACGCTTACATTTGCATTTCCCTTTCAACAGGATAATTTATCTTTCCCACTTATTTGTCCAGACTGGAATGCAGATGATGAAATACTGCTTTTGGAGGTATTTTGATTTGTTTTTAATCCTTCAAATGAAGTTGCTAGAGATCCTTTTCTATTTGACTTGTATCTAATTTCAGTCTTTGTTGTTTACATTCCTTATTGTAGGCAACTGAAATGTATGGATTGGGGAACTGGGCTGAAGTTGCAGAGCATGTTGGGACGAAGAGTAAAGAGCAATGTATAGAACACTACACAAATGTTTATTTGAACTCACCGTACTTTCCTCTTCCGGTATAATGAAATTTTAAACAAGTCAGTTCTCTTTTGAGTTTTAACTTTTCACAAAAGTAATCAAGTTGTGGAATATATTTGTTCAAGGACATGTCTCATGTAGTTGGAAAAAATAGAAAGGAGCTTCTTGCTATGGCTAAAGGGCATGGCGAGGACAAGAAAGGTTAGTGATGATTACTTCTTCTCTATGTTTTGGTATTTTTGTTTCCTTCCATTCTGAACCAGTAGCATGTTCGTTAAAAAATTGTTTTCGTATTGCTGGATTTATGCATATAGGGTGGCTGATGTTACACAAATGGTCCTTACATTTAATGATAAATCTCATGGAAGACACAGATTAGTTGAATTTCCCGCATTCGGCTTTTATATATTTCTCTTCTACTAAAATAAGAAAAAACATTTAAATTCTGGTGAATTAGGAGGTACATACTTTGTAGTTTATGTGTGCCTTCTGGTTGTTTTGGTTTTATATTTTTTTCATTTTATGGTTGGTGTTAGTTTTTCTTATTATCAAATACCTGTGACTGTTATAGGATTTCCTACGCTGGGGGATCATAATGTGAAGGAGGAATCTCCATTTTCTCCTTCAAGAACCAAGTATGGTCATCATCCCAATAGATTCATGATATTAGACTATTAGTAGTAGTACACATGATACATTTTTAATGGGAGTTATCTTAATTTATTCAGAGTGGAAGATACGCACAAAGGTGGTTCTTCTGGCCATTTAATGTCTAGCATCAACTCTGGTCAGATAAGATCTATCCCTGACTCCATGTTAACGATTTATCAAATAAAGATGACCTTGGACGAATCTCAGGTTTATTCCTTGCTTTCCTGTTATTCAGATGTAGAATCTGGACTTCGCTCTAGTGGTGCAAATGTTGCAGCAGCAGCTGGTAACAAGAAACCATCCAACATGGCCCAGGTTAAAGATGGTCCCAGTGTCATTAAACTGGAAGGTGATACAAAGCTTCCACTAATAAATTGGTTATATGCCCTGACATAATTTGAAACAAGTTTAAACACTAAGGCTAAGAAATGATGGTTGTACTCTTGTCTGTTTGCATGTGTGAGCGTTTATTCTCAGGTAAATCACATGACTGATGTTCTCTAAGATGGAATCATGTGACACAAGAATAATTTCTCTTGTGTATCGCTAACGTCTACTCATCTTCTATCTGTATGTGATTATTAAGTTAAAAGTATTGGTGCGGGGTACATAATTTTATATGGTAGTGATGAATTACTGAATCTTACTTGTTTCTATTATTTCTGGCAGATCCTCAAGCAGAAAGGAAAGGAAAGAACCCAAGTACTTTGGGGAGTAAGGATCCTTCTTTAGTTGAGTCGAGTGGCTATAATGCCAAAAGGCAGGAGTTCGATACTGAATACGATAACGATTCTGAGCAGCTATTGGCTGACATGGAGTTTAAGGATACTGACACTAATGATGAGCGTGAGCTGAAGTTAAAAGTGTTGCGAATCTACGCAAAGAGGTAGTCACTCGCTAAGTTGATTTTGGTGCATCCATTTATTTCTAGAACTTGACGTACCATAACGCAGGACAAGTTAGCAATAATTGAAAAAAAAGAATATGAAATTTAATCATTAATACAATCGATGAGGATTTCTGTTTTGTGTGTTATTTTTGGCTCAACTGCTTTTTGTATTTTTGATGTACATTGAGTAGAAGTTGAGTTTACTCAGCAATATTACATGACCCGTTGCCTGAAGTTGAGATTTGACGCAGCAATTATTACGTAAAGCTGTTGATGTTTTTACCTTCACGGGGATAATTTGTTTGCAGACTTGATGAGAGGAAGCGTAGAAAGGATTTCATACTAGAAAGAAATTTATTATATCCTAATCCTTTTGAGAAGGACCTATCGCCTGAAGAAAAGGCTATATGCCGACGCTATGATGTCTTCATGTGTTTCCATTCCAAGGAAGAGCATGACGAATTACTTCAGACAGTTATTTCGGAGCATCGTACGTTGAAAAGAATTCAAGAACTTAAGGTATGATACTTGGCAGAGAACAAACTGCTCTTGGATATTAATCCATTTTCAGTTACCAATTGGAATGTATGGTCCATTTTCATGGACAAGAGCCATATCTTTCCTTTCACTATTAAATCTATAAGCACTTGTTTTGTAGCAGACACGCAAAAACACATGGGTACGGCTTTATTAAGTCCTTTCTCACGAATCTTGTAATATAATCTTGCAGGAAGCCAGAGCTGCTGGTTGCCGTACATCAGCGGATGCAGATAGATATCTTTTACAGAAACGAAGAAGGGAAGCTGAAGAAAATGCTCGCAGAGCAAAGGAAAGTGGGCAAGTTGGTCCAAGCAGTCAGGGAGGTCCAAATTTGTTCATGTCCTTGGAGTCTGTTGGCATTGGCAAGGACTCAAATTCGAGGCCAGCTGGACAGGCCACTTCAGGCTCTGCCCGCGATTTGGATACAGTGGGATTTTATCGATCAGATCTACTGTCTGAAGCTGTAAGTATTTATTTACCAACTCATTAGTTTGTCAACAAGCAAGCACAACTAACTGCCGCGCGCTCCTAATATTGATTGAGTGTGTTCTTTTGTACTCGTTATGTTTGTTCAAAGCCTTTTTCTGAAACAATCTACATTTTTTGTCCCATGGCAGGAGAAACGTCTCTGCAGCGAGATTAGATTGCCACCACCCGTTTTCCTTAAGATGCAAGAAGTTATATCAATTGAAATCTTCAGTGGCAGAGTCAGTAAAAGATCAGATGTCCATCAACTATTCAAGATTGAACCTAATAAGATCGACAGGGTTTATGACATGCTCGTGAAAAAGGGCATCGCTCAGCCTTGATAGTTGACGCTGTTGCAGGCTTGGTGTTGTTTTTGTTGTAAATTATTTTCATATGCATCAATTTTGTTCCAGAGAAATAACAAATTTGCAAATGCTTCTGCCATACTTCTTTTCTTAATTTCCCGATTTTCTCAACTACCCTGTTCCACTAGCTTAACAGTAAAATATGAAAGATTGGCAGCCTCTGCTTTCCTTATTGTACATACTGGTCATGTGATCTTTCACTTGTCTGCTATGTTCGTAATCATGTAACAAAAGGTTACAAACATAGAACATAGCGGTCGCGTGAAAGATCAAATGATTAACAGCTACATTTCTTATCATGTTACGAGAGGTTACAAACATAGAACATAGCGCGGTTGTGTGAAAGATCAAACGATTAGCAGTTAAGTGCATCTAATTAAGTTAAGGATGTCTTAATCTTTATAAGCTTTACAATTAGTTCCGAAGACAGAAAACTAGGACTCAAAAGATACTATTAAGATACATATATAGGGAAATTTTCAGAAGTTGCTACACAAGGCATGCGTGCAAAAGCACACACCAATTACTCCTGCGAGTTAATAGCCCAACACCTGCTCACCATTGGATCACATTTACTTGGAGCACTTGTTCATATCCAAAAAAAAAACTTGAATCTATCAGATATAAAGCTGTACAGCTTCCAATTCTCATGATGTTAGAAACTTGATAGTTCTTTTCCCTTTTTCCCCTCTGCCGACGGTTCGTCTTATCTACAAGAACCATGTACCTAAACCTTCCAAGATCCTATCAGCAAGGTCAAAATTCTCGACCTCAGCCATGTGCAGCCACTTCTGTGGCTTCTAGTGTTTCACATTTCTCAGTTTTGTTGCAAGCACAATCATCACCGCCATTGCCATCGCTTGAATTGTTAATCTCGTCTTCATTACTGGTACAAGGCCACTTCCGCATATTCATTCTCGTCACCTTTCCCAACTCCTCATCCAGTGGGGCTAAATCTGGTGATTCCTGTTTCTCTTCAACAGCTTCAAGTTTAGAAGAAGCTTTTGCCATAGAGCTAGAAGAGACTGATAAGAGCTTCGTGCTAGAACTGATATTTTCAGATACGTATGAGAATACATCAGGCTTTGCCTTCACATCAACCCATCTGTTCTCAACCCAGTCTCTGGAAGCCCTAACATCCTTTCTCGGGAAACTCATAAGCTTCTTCTCACCTAGGATACATTGAAAGAAACATCACTCACCCCAATAACTGATCGGAAAACCAGATAAAACATTTTACCAGCTTCAATAAGTTCAAGTCAATTAAACAAAGCACTCTGAAAGGTAAAAACATAATTTGAATCAAATAAAAGCAGCTTTCCATCTGAGAGCATACCAGGGAAGTAGACTTGTATACTATCAGTCCCAGAAATGTTAACTCCAGTAACAACACCTTCCCACCAGCCATCACACCACCACGCATCAACTGCTACTCCAACCTCAAAACAAACCTCTGTAGAATCATTGAGACGACAGGGTCGGATTGTCAGGCGGCCTGAGTATCTCATGCCTAATTTATCAGGAGCAGCAACTTTAAAGGCAGGGACCCATTCCTACACATTAAAAAACATGTGAATATCTAAATTCATTCAGCGATTAGTTTACACAAACAAGCCAATTACCAAAAAGATGAAAAGGTCGTACCCAGTGCACAAGGCTCCCGCTTTACGCAGGGTCTGGGAGAGGTGAATGTCGGCTAGCCTTACCCCCATTTTATGGAGAGGCTGCTCCCAAGTCTCGAACCCGAGACCTACCGCTCATGGGCGAAGGCACTTACCATCGCACCAAGTGCGACCTCTACCAAAAAGATGAAAAAAAAAAAAAAATTCTTGCAAATGCGCATAATAGAACACAGACTTATAGGCAATCTGTTTTATATTAGTTTGACTCATGGAGATCATGCACTCAAATCATGAATAGACGAATAGCAACCAAGCTATATAGTAATATTTACAACAACAAAGCCTTATCCCACTAAGTGGGTCAACTGCTATATAGTAATATTAAAACAATGTTTTCTCATGCTCCCTTCGTTCTAATATTAGCCAGAAAAGAATTCAAAACAAAGATCTCTAGAAGACTGCATACCTCCAGATTGCCAGATCCATCCACATCTTGCAAATCATCATATTGAACTTTGAGAAGCTTTTGAGATGTCTGCAAGACCTGACACCTAAACCAACATCCTCGTATGCCACTATCCTGACAGAGCAACTCCATCTTTTCACCAACCTTAAAAGAAACTGGGCGTATGGGCTCCGATCCAGCAATCTTAACTCCCATGGTTTTCGTTGATAATTTTAATTTCAACTTTGGGTATGTTGGAACGCAATTTGGTAAATGATTCCCAGTGACCAAATTTTTAACACCACAATGTCCCTGATTCGCCTTGCTGGTTCTGTTTCTCTTAAGGCTCATCCTCAGAGGATCATCAGGTGCTAACTCTACCTCATCTTCATCACATAATTTATGGTACTTCGCTTTGGCTTTTTGCTTGGAGATGTAGACATCTAGAGAAGACAGAATTGCTTGATTAGAATACCCCCGCAATTTAGCAAGACTGAAGGGCTTAACCTTGTAGTCCCCAAGTTGCCGAAAGCACATAAGGATTCCAGAGGAAGATTTATGAGCTACAACAGCTAAGCATTTTTCGTAGTGCTTAGGAGTCAGAACTGTTGCAGGACCACCAACACACTCAGCATTGATCACCTGAACATAAGGTGTGATAAAAACTTCTCTGGGGTGTGGATTCAGATCAGGGATTACACCCGTGACTTCCCAAGTGTGGTGAAACCAACGCACTTTAACCTTTTTCTGACTTTTCTTGTCTTCATACATGTCTTCCACGTAACCTAGGTAGTGGCTTTCTTCTTCCAAAGCCAATACAAAGACAAAGGAATGGACCTGAAAATCAGGGTCACAAAATAAACATTACACAGCTTATCAATGCAAATTAAAAAGATGCTACTTAAGGAAAGAAAGAGTACCACTAAAAAGGTCGTACCCAGTGCACAAGGCTCCCGCTTTACGCAGGGTCTGGGAGAGGTGAATGTCGGTTAGCCTTACCTCCATTTATGGAGAGGCTGCTCCCAAGTCTCGAACCCGAGACCTATCGCTCATGGGCGAAGGCACTTGCCATCGCACCAAGTGCGACCTCTTCAAAGAAAGAGTACCACTAATGTAGAAATTATAAGTCGTACAACAAAAGAAGTAAATCATTTGATACTTACAGAAATGGTAGCTCCATTCCTGTGAAATGCAGGGTAATGCTTGAGCTGTTTGGCACAAATCCAGGCAATACCAGACCATTCAATGTCTGAATTGTGAACTTTCAATTTCCTTGGAACCTATGAAAAGAAAGAGAGAACTTAGTAAAATATATCTATGAACCCAAAATCCAGACTTAGCAAATAACTGTATGTGAATACCATCTGATCAGGCATATAAGTTTGGCGAGCACCGAGTCCAGTAATTGGCAATGGTTGTGTTGTTTCATCTGTTGGTGAATCTGTTATAGGATGAGTAGGTTTGCTTTAAATTATACTTCAAAGTCAAATGAGCATTAGTAGAGTAAAACGTGACAAAAGACCATACATGAATATAGAGGCATAATGCAAGAACTGATTTTGGGGATTTGAAAACTCAGCAGTTAAAAAAATGCTTATCAACAAGTGACAAAATAGCACCATGGTATGCTTTCCAATCTTGACTAGTCAGCACAAAAATGGATGAGAAAGAAAGGTACACAAGCAGCCAGCTTTCTGAACTTTATTTAATGATCAATGAATAAGGTGAACGAAATGTTGATTTCACAATATTAATTGATTAAACCTTACAAAACCCTGTAACCACAAAAAAGCCTTAGAAAACCCAAAATATGATAAATCAATATTCAAACCTATTAATGTCCAAATAACTTAATGCTTCCATTTAACGTTATGGCTTTAGATGAAAACTTTCTTACAATAACAGAGGCTGAATGGAATGAAAAGGTGTGCCATTTCTCAAATCAACAATTTCAGATGTTACTCAAAACAGGAAAAGTTCAAATCAAATATGCATGTCTATTGCTACCCACTTACCATGCTGTATGATACATTACACTCGGTACATAGTCTACGTTGAACAGAAGCAAGGACTCCATAGCCAGATTCTGAATTCCTAGGGGTGTGAACAAATAGACTACTTACAGGAACTAAAATCTTCCCAAATTTCAGAGGTGAGAAAGAAAAGCTCACGAAATTAGGATTTTAAGATTCACCATCCATACCCCCCCCCAACGAAAAAAAAGAAAAGAAAGAGGAAGTAAATAATTCACATCAGGCTATAATTCCAAATTGTTCAGCGAGCAATCAAATCGTGGTTCCAAAATGTGAACATGTAATAAACACGGAAGATGGTACAAAACACTAAGAAAAAGAAATTAATAGGCATAATTTAAGGTCGGATACCCATTCTATCATTTGAGGTTGAAAATCCAGTTGATGAACTCATACTAGCTCTCCCTCTCTCTCTCTCTCTCTCTCTCTTTCTCAATCGCTTCCTTAGGTGCAGTGGATTTGTGAAGTTTGAAGAAGTAGAAGGCCAGGATGTTTAACGTGACATGAGAACAAGCTGGCAGAAAGAGCTTATAAAGAATGACGGTAGTAGACACATAGAGCCAGCCTCTCCTTTTTGGAAAGATGCTGAAATATAATTGGCTTTACATATTTCTTTACAAAAAATTGGATTTCGGTTTATCAAAAGAAACCAAATTAATGTAGGCAATCTCCTCTAACAATAAATCACTAACGTATAGACTTAAGTTACTGACTTTTTTTCGGATTCCTAATCCAAAATAATTTTCATTTTTAAAAGAAAGGTGGCCGGAATACTCCCTCCCTTCTCATAACAGAAAATATTTGAAAGGTAAAAGAAGGTAAAATTTCTCTAATGCAAATAATTGTCAACTAATAGAAAAGGAATTATGTATCAGCCCAGATATCTTCTGATTACATTGCATTCCTAATGAAAAACTTACTTTGATTTGATTAAGAATGGTTTACTTGGTTCCAGAACTATCAACTATACCATATGGAGAAGCATGAGCTTAGAATTACATTCCTAAAGAAAACCTTATCAGTTACAAAACACAATACTGTGGTATTCTAGAACAGGCCATAGTAAGAAATTCAAAGGCAGGTTCAAGCATGCCTCCGACCCCCAAATATATAAATAATGTAAAAGAAATTACCTCGCCAGAGCCAAGACAAAATATATGCTATATATAAAATTGGAAATGTCTTTTGCCATATATAAAGTCATCATGTTATAAACATCTGTTGGGGACAGAAATACCCTTACATATTATCACTGTTATCTCAAAAAATAAGTTTCTTTTGATACTCTAGCTATCCGTTCTATGGAAAGAACATAAGCATAGAACTACATCCTAAGGAAAAACTGCACCCGCAAAACACAATGCTTTGATACGCTAAAATAGGTTACTAACAGAATTCAAAGGCAGGTTCAAGTAAGTCCCCCACTACGCCACACCCAATTAGAAAATGAAATGCCCCTCTAAGGCAAAGGCAATATAACTCTTTATCATACATAAAAGAACAAATTCCGTGCAACTGTAGTTGGACAAACATATCCTCATTAAGAGTACATTTGTTTCGGGAAAACAAAATTTCTTTATCTGTCCTTTTTTGCCTCCTTTCTGTACTCTTGCCTTCTGTAATACGTATACTTTATTTTCTCTCGAAAAATAAGTAACACCATGCCATTAACATAACTAAAGCCGACTACCAGAGCAATTTACTTAAGACCATATATCCGTAACTCATAAATTATTTATTCATTAGAACAACTCCATATATTTAAAAAGTTTGAAAACCTCGCACATCATTAACATAAGAATTCACCGTCTACATGTTTAAATGTTCAGAAATAAAATCATTCTACTCTATATTTCACATACAAAGCACACATACGCACGCTCATGCACATGCATGCTCACTTACACTACAGAATCCAACGTACAAATTAAAGAACACAGTTTCATTACTTTCAAGACCTCCTATGTTAGTATAAATGGAACCGTGTCTTCTTTCAAAATTGCAATTCTAGGGGAGGACCTTAGACAAATATCATCTCAATTTGCGGTCCCAAATATTATGATAATCAGTTTATAAAATTGAAAACTCAAGATTCTAAATAAGAAGATAAAAGATGCAATGTTGGAGAGACCTGCTACTGCTTGCCCTGAGAAATTTACAGCAATGCAACAAAAAGATGACACAATTCAATCTCACAAATATCTCCAATTTGACCTTTTCATAAGGTTAAATTTGTTATTCTAAACATGGTACGTCAAGGGCTACTCTTCTTCTGTATTGAAATTCTAATCTAAACAGTATATTGAGGCAATGCTTATGATAACCTGTATTCAAAAGTTTAATTCCACTCACAGATCACAACATAGGACGATATTATTCATCATACTCAGTCAATGCCACTCAAAAAGTTCCATAAAAGGAACCTGAAAAAGTGAAATAGATAACATAACATACCTGAAACCTCCGACCAGCAACGTCTCGAGACCAAGGAAGTAAGCCATTCTACAACTTCTCTTCTTGCTCTCCATTTGGTACATACATTAATGAATCCCTTGGACTTGTAAGTCTTCACGAACTCATCTGAAAGAACATACAGCATGTGCCTTATACTCCTCTCAGTCCCTATAACAGCGAGCACTAATTCCCCGGATGCCTCCTTCAAGTAGTAATGGACCACACGGCTACCGCGCTCTTGACACAGAGTGTGCTCCTCCCACGACACAAAACTATGAGTATTCGTCATCATCTCTATTATCTAGAGAGGCCCAAATTCACAGAACAAGAAGCCCCCTTTTATCACATTACCTGAAAAATCAAAACTTAACAAGAAATAAGCGTTTTGGTACTCAAATAACCAACCCAATGAAGAAAATGCACAATAAATTTCATAAAAATGTTAAATAAATAAATAAAAAAGCTACCGTTGCTAGTATACTCAAGGGGCGGAAGTTCCGGGAGCCAAACAGCCTCCAAAAGAAAGAAAGAAAAAAACTGCCCAAAACTGGAAATGAAGAGAGAGAGCTAGGGTTGCTGTAAAACCTAGACCAAACTCAAAAAGACGAACTGGGTCTGTCACTCTCAGCTGGTTTCAATGGCGGCGGCTTTCGACACAGGAGATTGAAATGCCATTGACGGCGAGGACGACGAAGAAACCCCAAAAAGCGGAAAATCGAGAAACAAACAAAAGGTGGGGTTTTTCAGTGGCCTGAAACTTGAAAGCAGAGCAGAAAAGGAGTGAGCTTTGGTGAGAAGGGCACGGAGGAGAGATAGAGACGGAAGGAGGAAGGAGAGATTGGGAAAGAAGGCTATGGAGGTTAAGAGGAGGAAGGGAGTGACCTAATGTTTAGAGAGGGAGAGAAAGGGGGACGGCAGCGGCACGGCATGAGTCAGGGGTTTGCAGAGCTTGGAGACCAAGGCAGCCCATGACATCCGGTGAGGGGGAAATGGGAGGAGCCAAACAGGGAGAGAGGGGTAGAGTGGGAATAGTGGGATTTGCGTGTTTAACTTGCGGTCTTCTTTCGACACGTGGTAGCTAGTACGCTCCACGTCATCTACGACTACCATTGACTTAGGTAAGTGATTTAAGCTGACGAAGAATACTTTTAATTTTCGTAAAATATTTAGGATTCATCCATGAAATGCAATTAAGGTTATAATTCAGGTATTGTTCTAACTTAGCGCAAGAGTTCTCTTGATTGGAATGCGGGTATAAATCGAGGATAACGATAATGTATATACAAGTCTAGAGTTTAGAGTTTAGGGTTTAAATAAATGATAATGCATATACAGGTCAAAAGATAACGAATTTGCAATTATTATTAACATTTATATACAATTGAAATACTCAAGGAAGAAAGGAAGCGAAATTGAGAGAAGTTTTTGGTTTTTTTTTTAAAGAGTGAAAAACTAAAATTAAGAAATTATAACTCCTGTATCTAAAATTAATATATTCAATCAAGATTCAATTTTGAATGATTTTAAAAGATGAATGATGTGGGTGAAATTGGAGTGATTTCACATTATATTTTTAGGTTTTAACAAATTGTGGATTTTTTTTTGAGATTTTGAATGAAATTGGCTTAAAAAAATTCGTAACAAGTTAAAAAAAAATCATTAAAATTCCATCAAACTCCATAAATTTATAACTCTTAAAAAAAATTACAGAGGTTAAAAGAATGATTGATCAAAATTTCTAAGCTAGAAAGAGAGTAGAAGATTTCTTGCATATCCCACTCCAATATTACCATATTTGTTTTGGTGAGGGCTTGAGGGACCCAACAGGCTATTGAATATTCCACCTCTTCTTGTCAAAGTTATCTTTTGTAAAAGCCATGTCCACAAACTTGGAATCTAAAAAGGATAATAGAGAAGTGGATATACTGTATAGCTTAGGACTTGGAAGCTACGAGATGCTTGAGAGCTCCCAAAAAATGAACATGTCTACACTCAGCTCCCAATTCCGCCTCCTAAAATAATACCCCACAAGAATCCTGCATGTCCATCCTCAAGCCCTAACTCATTTCTCATCCCCATCTCCCTCTACCAAAACACCCTCAACCTCCAACCATATTATCATCTCTCCCTTCCGAAGCCACAAACAGCATTCCTCTACCAACACGAGCATCCGCTACAAAATCCAAGTTATGTAATGTAACGCTTGTCCGGCAAGAGTCCGTCAACGATACTTCCACCCCAAGAAACTCCACCGGAAACAACTTGTCAAGGTTTTGGGTAATGGGAGCTGTTTCCGTGGGAGTTGCAGCGGCGCTGATGGCGATGGACGATCAGAAGGCGATGGCATTGGGCCCCAAAGGGCCGCTGATGGAAGAGTTTTGGGACAATGTAAGGAGATATGGACTGTATGCTCTCACGGTGAGTACAGGTGCTCTGTACGCGACCTTCGCGCCGCTGTACGAATAGTTGAAGAACCCTATCTCTGCAATTCTTGTTTTGGTAATATTAGGGGGCGGTATCTTCAGCTTCTCCCAAGTGCTTTATGCCATGGTTGATGTCTCAGATTTTAGTTATGGTTATGGATATATCAATCCATGTCCATGGATTCCTTCCATGTAAGTAAGGGCCAATTAAGCAAAGAGATTACTACTTTTTGACGATCATCATGTCATCTATAGCTAGGAAGTTTAATTACCTCTATATGTTACACTTTGTATACACGTAGAAGCAAATTGGGAACAGTCTAAAGTTAAATTCTTCCTTAATTATCTTGTTCCGAAGTACTATTAAATCTTATCCAAGTTTGTCAACTAGTAATTGGTGGCATTTTGCTATCTTTTCGACTCAATTTCTCCAAGAAATCTCTATCCATAATGTTTATTATTTATTAAGGAGTGAGAGTGAGCAGGGATAATATATTGACGTTGTTAAAAATGCATCAATAACGTGTTAGTGTACATTTTGCTAGGAACAACGGAATTAAAACATTATAGAAGATATAGTTCAAGATGCGTGAATGATATATGTGTTGTTTTAAGTAGTTGGCTAGACAATATCAACATACTATCGATAACGTAGAGGCACTACTTAACAAACAAACATTTCCTAGCCCAACTACAATATCCATGTCAAACTTCGAACAGTAGTTCATCGATCCTTGCACGTGAAGGCCAGATAACGAGCCTATAATTAAAAACCAAGTAATATGTTTGATTAAGTTTGAACAGAATATTTAATATATATGTAGCTATAGGGTAGCCTTGTGTTGTGCCATGATGAGTTGATTCAAACTACAGAGAAACGGCTGAAGGGTGTGGTATTTTATTATATTGGGCCAATGAATGAGCATTGTCTGGGCCTCCTTTGGTCAAAGATTAATGAAAGGTCTCGACCCATAGGAGTTCTGGACAGTTCTGGACATGTCCATCAGATTCTAACACATGGAGACTGTGCAGGGGTCAGAAATGAATCTGAAGGTCCACTTGCATCTAAAATAAATGTGGTCTCTTTGTGCCTCCAATCAATATATGACACATATTAAATTTATGAAAACAAATTTTAGAAAAATTAAGATAATAAATACATGTCAATTACTTATTGGGTCACAAAGAGACACACTAATTTTAGGTGCATAAAATTTGGTCTTTCACCAAACCAATAAAAAACCCAAATCTCCAGCAGCAAAAACCACACTGCAGCTGCCGTCACATCCTCGGAGAAGCCAAACTTCAAACTGAGAAAGTAGACACCACATGTAAGTCCCATTCACGAACTCCTGCAAATATATACAAACACATATGGGTAGAGAGTGAAGATAAAGGGTATGTAAAATACCAACACTTGGCCTCGATGGGATCCGGCTTGTCAGTTGGGGGAGGAGAAGTGAGGGAGGGAAGTGGATCTGATATCCAATTTCTAATCGGAGCTCACCAATCTGAGCACATGGTGGGACGGGGATGAAGTATCACAACTAGAGAGGAGGGAGAAAGGAAAATTAAAAGACAGAAAACAGTAAAAGCAGGTGGAAAAGGCCGGATAAGGGGCATGAAGCCCAAATCTGAGACAAGCTCAGTGAATATTTGAGACTCGTCTCAAGAAAAATTGAGATAAAATCAAGGACAAACCAAGAATGAAAACAAAAGAAGGAGACTAGAAAGGAGGAAGGAATATGATAATGTGTAATATTCTCCTCAATTGTCATTCCTCAACTTAAAATTAGAAACCATTAGCGTACTGAATTTTGATAAGGTAAATTCATAAGATAAGGCACTCTTGAGTCATTTTTCAAATTTAAACCATTTGGTATACCTTGCTTTTCTTAAATCATCAACTTATCTCACAAAATCAGCGATGATCCCTCAAATTATAGCTTGTTTTTATTTTCCTTTATTTTCTTTTGAGAGCAGATAACAGAAAGAGTAGGATCGCAGTTTATGAAAATAATGGTTTTATTTATTTTTTGCTTAAAAAGTACATCTCTTATATAGTTATATGTACTGGTAACCTTGTGCAGTGCCGCTGCTACTGTTCTTAATTATACGATCTCTCCTAATTTTATAAAATGTTCTATAATAATAAGCATTTCTTTACCCTCATGCATCATGCATATGGATATGGACACGTTATATCATGGCAATCAGTCTGACATGATATATATACACCTGCGTAAAATGTTAGTGGTTATCAATTTTTTAGCTTTTATTTGGGTCCTTTATAGGAGTAGCACGTGTGGCAGCTAGAAACTTCAGAGTCCTCACCCAAACGATATTCTTGAATGGCGTAAGTTTATTTACGCAGTTTTCATACTTTTGGGTATTTTATCTTTTTAAGAGCTCGCACTTGGTGCGATGGCAAGTGTCTTCGCTCATGAGCGGTAGGTCTTGGGTTCAAGACTTGAGAGCAGCCTTTCCATAAATGGGGGTAAGGCTAGCCGACATTCACCTCTCCCAAACCCTGCGTAAAGCGGAAGCCTTGTGCACTGGATACCATCTTTTTTTATCTTCCTTCTTTAAGTTTGATGTTTTCACTTTTCAGAAGGGTTTCCTGCAGCTGCAGGGCAAAGGGAATTTTGATTTTGATTGATTTGGGTTCCCCATTTCCCCCCTTGCATGCATTTTAACTAAGGCCATTTTTGTAAATTAACTCAGAGCCGATGAACTGTAGCAAGTTTTAGGACTGCTATAAGTAGCAAATAGAGAGTGCGATACTTGATGCTCGCTCAACAAAGCAGCTCAAATTACTTGAACAACCTAATTCTGAAACACACAAAAACCAAGGCCATTCATTCCCTTGTAACCCTAGCTTCGTCACTCACAATATTTGTAAGCAATCACACATACATATGGATCATCAAAGTAGTGAGGATCAGAAGCTCCAAGCTTTTGACAAATTCATCGACAATAAGTACTACGCCAAGTTGTTTATAACGAGGACTTTGAAGTTTGTAGTCTCAGTGTCTTTGTTGTCCTTGTTTCTTTTTGTAACATCATCAGGTTTTTGTGTACTTCCCGATCCCTTCAATCAGTTCAACGCCTATTTCTCCACGTTGCTTTTGTCAATCTTTACCCACACCCTTGAGAGGAAGTACTATTGGATTTATTCCGATGTAAATCAACCTTAAATGGTCTACAACATATAATAGGAATGTAATATTGGAGATTAATGTAGATATTGTGATTTATTTCCTAAAGATATCAATCTTATATTAGGTGTCTTGCAATATAAGTAAGATTGATGGAGTCCTTGATTTTATGTGATTATGATACCTAACTGATAGGCTAAAAAGTGGGATTTGGGATTCCTTTATGGATGGAACCTTAATGCCTTAGCCAGTATAAATACTAAGGTCCCTGCAAACCCTAGAGACACAACAAACACTTCCCATAAAGTAGTTGTATCCGGCTAGGTGCTTTGTAGAAGACTTGGTGTTGCCGCATCCTTCATCTTCTCCGTTTGATCTCCAATGGCTATCGCTTCATGATCAGGTCAGCTAAAATTCCTTCGTTTGTGTTTTAATTATATAACCACATAAAGTTTACATGTGGTATCAGAGCCACTGGTTATATGATTAAAACCTATTAGGTTTGAAGTTTGATTATATAATATCTTTTCTTTTGGACTGCGGTTTTTTAAATCCAAATTGTGATTGCATTCGGCAACATCACCATGTTGGACCTGCTTGAAAACTGCATAGTACGGTTCCGCATATAATTGTATATACTTGGCATATTAGTTTGATATGCACGGCACATGTTTTACATAAATTCCTATTTGGTCTTAGAGACCGAAATTATCAGTTAAATTAAACAATTACATAATTGGATAATCTGTTTCTGCGAGTGGTGCCAGTTGAGTTCAAGTTTTCTTCCACCGCCACCACCCTTCAATTCCAAATGTGGGCTTTTTCTAATTGAAGCACTAAATGATGATATTGAATTAACTATAATAAAGGAAGATTAAAAATAGTTGGTTCATTATTTCATGGAATTGTATAATTGGAATTACCATGGTGCTTAACGTTTTCTATTTCAATGTTCATATTAATGTTTTGGTTCAATTTGAAATAGTCATTTTGTTCTAACCATGCACCGGAGAATTTGAGATGATCAGCAAAGCCAAATAAGGAGGTTCATATATGCATCGCATATGAGATCCTGATGGAGGTCGGTTCTAACCTTGCACTGGAGAATTTTGAGATATATCACTCATAAATTGGTAAACTAATAATTGTTGAATGGTAGGTTTTCAAGCACTTCAAGCTTCCTTTCTTGTATTCAGTTCTCATAAAGAAAGATTGGAACAGTTTGCTTTGCTCATCTTTACTGAATTAATTATGACTGGAAGAATATGGCATGCTTTAAGCTTTCTTTCGATATTCATGCCAATGTTTTGGTTGAATTGATTTAGTGGTAGATACAACTTTTTGGCTAACGTTGTTGTCAATTTTGTAAGCATATAGAAATATGTACTTCTGTACTAATCTTGCCAAGGAAGACTATGAAGCATCTCAAGTCAACAAGCTCGGTAAAGTCTCCTATCAAAGCAAACAATATTGATCATTATATGTGTCAATTGCGAATTAATTAGTTGATCATGCATATGGTTAGTTTTGACTATTAAGTTTTAAACTTGGTTATCAAAACAAAGAGAAAATATATGTTTTGAACATGATTAATTCTGCATATAAGTGGCATACAGAACGAGGGAAAAGTAGATTTTTAAGATATGCCAAGATGCATGCATATAAAAGTGCATATATATCTTGCTTGTTCGTGGTTTTTTGTTAGTAATATGCATGAGTGAGCCTATTGGCTGGTCCAAGCAGCTCCAGTCACTGCTTCCAGGGTGGAAAGGCAACAAGGGACACTAAGCACCCCTCAAAATATAATTACATACCTTATAAGGTTTTTTGGAATTACTTCTTAAACTCCAAATCTTTATTGCATTTGTTATCCATTTGAATAAGGACTAATATTGTTTGCCATGAATTGCAATTGCATAAGTGCCATCAATTGTTTGATCAAGCTAAGTATACGTAATTTTCTAAAGCCAATTATGTATCTAGAAGTTCACATTGCATGTGTAAAATTATCATGACACCAGTATCTAAATGGTATGTATATGGTAAACATGCGGAGAAGCATATGTAAAAATGCATAAATTATTTTTATTGTTTGAGACTATATTTTGTACAAATAGTCTGGGTGTTTCGGCATTAGTACAAGAGTAAGTCTATTGCTCTGTTTTTCATGGGTAATAACTAAAATGGACATATGGCATGTTTTATTAAAGGGATTGGGTTGTCCTAACACAAATGTGTTGATTAGTAATGCAGTATACTAAGCATGATGGGGGATTAATTCAAGTACGGTTTATAATGATATTAACTCCATGCGGAATTTGCATGACTAATCAAATTAGTTTTGTCTACAATTTTGCTTTCCTATCTCAGTATAGTCATTTAATTGTACATGACTAATGCATAACTTATGGATTGACTGAGAATGACAGAAAGCATCCAATGACAAGAATAAGGGTATAATACAAGTGAATAAGGTTTGTAGTAATTATGTGACAATTCTCATTTGTATTTTAACTATTTATTTGAGAATTGTGGTTGGTCATGTGATTATAAATATGTTTATAAAGAAGTGGTGAACATATGAAGGCATAAGGTATGTATTTCATTCAGAGCATGTGACTAAATTGATAAGCATAAGTCTTCAAACTTGTATATAGTTTATTAGTTTTTCCCATGCCTAAAGAATTTAAACAATGTTTTGATAAGTCAATTTTATGTGCCATAAGGGGAGAAGAAAAGAAATTATTCAAGGCTAATGTATGGCATGTATTGGAGTTTTTTTTTTCTTTTGGAAGAAAAGATTTTTTGGTTGTTCCTTTACTTAATTTGGTATTTACAAGGCTAATGCACGATTTTGATGCTAATGTTTTAGGAGTCTTGTACTACAAAAATAAAGGTACAAAAGGAAAGGAACCCGTTTGACTTAAGAGAGCATTTAAGTGATATCACAATTTGGCTTTTGAATTAAAAGCGACTATATTGTTTAAAGTGTTTCCATTTTGAATCTATTAGCTCCATCATGTTTTCTCATACGTGTTGATATCCTTGTGGTGGAAGATTGATATTATAGCTCTTATACAACTTGATCTATATGTGATTAATCTCCTTTCAAGTATGTTGTCAGGTTTTTTGAGATTAATTGGATATCGAAGGGAGTCATGAAGGCTGGAGATGATCAATGTCTTGTCAACTAAGCAAGCCGTAGCGGCTTAGTTGATGTTGGGACTATGGTTTTAAGTTATTTTGATCAACATTGCATCTTAATTAGTAAAAGGGATAATCTTCTTGCCCGTAGGTGTGGATCGTTTCCTTTGTTTTAATTAAGATGGCATAGTATGAGTTTTATTTCACAGGAGTTTGTGAAAACTTCATCTTGCCCGTAGGTGTTGAAGTTTTTTTTATGAAGGTAACTCTTGTGACATATAATTCAGTACTAGAAACTAATTAATTTGCTTGCCCGTAGGTGTAAATTAATCTAGTTTCATGAAGTTTATTGGGGATAAAGTTCCATGCCATCAGTTACAAAATCCCACTATGAGCCCCATAATAGGTTGTGGTTTTAAGGCATGGAAATCGGTTGCATCATTACGTATTTTGTGTCTCTTCATGAGACTTGTTGATGCAAAGTATTGGACCCATGAAGGTTAATCAAGGATTGCTAAGGTACACATTATTTAAGTCTTATGCTTATAAATCTTTTCAATTTGAAGTATGATGTCGTTTTAGATGATGAAATTTGACTACTAGAGTTTCCCTTGGACATCAAAATTGAAATGATATGAAATTGAATTGTTATGGATGTATAAATTCATGATAGATGCACATGATTGTTTCTGGCAGATTGCATGTCTTGATTTAAATTGAGTGAATGATACGTCTAATGATCACCAAACGACCTGAATTTTTGATATGTTCAACATATATATGTCTACTATGTGTCTGCAAATTTTCGTAAAGTTTTGCCATGTAGTGTAATTATGGTGAATTTACTAGTAACCCATACTCGTACAGACAGTTTTGCTGGCAGATTGTTTTTGTCTTTCGAGACGTCACTTTAGACAATTAGTTTGACCTAAAACGGCCCTATATTTTTAATTTATGAAGATTAGTATGTCTATTTTGATCTGTAAAATTTTGGTAGCAATTAAGCTTGTAAATTAATTATGATAAATTCTAGAGTAAGTGTAACTCATTGCTGAAATTCTTTTTGATAACTTTATGTTGGTTGTGATATTATGTCTAAAATATGAAGCAAATTTGTTTAGGTAAATCCTTGAAAGAATATATGAATAAGTGTTTGCCCAAGTGGGAGAATTAGTGAAAGAAAATTGGGCTTCACACTCATTAACTTATTTGCAATAAGTGTATAAACTCTAAAAGTTTAGTGGGAGTTGTTCTAAAGTTTTGAGCATTAAGTGGACTTGCATAAAGTTTTATTCTATCTTCCAGGAATATGTGTTTTGGTTGATGAAATTAGAATTATGCCATGACTCGAATGACAATAATATGTTTAAGTTGCAGAATGAGTACTTGGTGTATGTGTATATTTTTACTTGCAATCATTTGGATGCCTTAATTGATTATTTGTTAATCTTTAGAAAAGAATTTTGAGGGTCGTGGGGACTTAGCACAAATATGGAATTATTAATGCAAATAGATGGTTGTGAAATGCATGGTTTTGTATAAACAACGGTGAATCTCTTAGTTTTACCTTTCATTAAGATTATGTTTTTTAAGGTGTTAAGGAAAGGTTAAAGAAAGACAATTTTGTAGTGATATGCATTCATTGACTAAGTAAGGGTGTTCCCACAAGCATATTTCAAAAGTATGTTTTAAGTAGTGTTTGCAAATTAAGTGACGATGTTGCAAATCAGTGGGAGCTTGAGTTTCATGTAATTAATGCCTTACATTTGCAGATGACCTATAAGGTATGTATGGTTGATTGAATCCATTTATTCAGTTTAATCTCCGGTTGGATTCATGTAGTCACATGTTTATGTGTTGGTCAATTATCAGATGACGATATATCTGATATCCAGTTAAGCAAATTGCATTTTAAGTCATAAAGGAATGGTTAGTCTACTTGCTCGTAAGTGTGGATTAATTCTTTTGGTTCGACTTAAAATGGCATGACATGATTTATATGTTGTATTAGTTGTAAGAGTTTTTTCATCTTGCTCATAAGTGTTGAAAATTTTTCTCACGAAAGTAACTAATATGGTATATGAACTAGTGTAAAAAACATGTTAATTCATCTTGCTCGTAGGTGTTGAATTAATTGTGTTTTATGAAGTTTTTGTTTGCAACTGCAGTAGAAGTTTGCATTAAAGAGGACCTGAGATGATAAAAGTTGAGACACATTCAGGTAATTAAAGTTCATCTTTGCAATCATAATTTGACGGTGTTTCATGTGGATGAGGATTTTAGCATGTGTGATTATGAAGGTTTTTGGTTGTGTCAACCTTACAACCTTGTTAGTTCCATGTTGAAAGACTTATTTGACAGAAACTTGTATCAAGGATAGGATGTTATCACAACTACATGGCCATTAAAGTGACATTAATCTCCAATTTCAAGTATAAACATAAATATTATATGTGTAGACCAGTGGGAGAATGTTGGATTTATTCCGATGTAAATCAACCTTAAATGGTCTACAACATATAATAGGAATGTAATATTGGAGATTAATGTAGATATTGTGATTTATTTCCTAAAGATATCAATCTTATATTAGGTGTCTTGCAATATAAGTAAAATTGATGGAGTCCTTGATTTTATGTGATTATGATACCTAATTGATAGGCTAAAAAGTGGGATTTGGGATTCCTTTATGGATGGAACCTTAATGCCTTAGCCAGTATAAATACTAAGGTCCCTGCAAACCCTAGAGACACAACAAACACTTCCCATAAAGTAGTTGTATCCGGCTAGGTGCTTTGTAGAAGACTTTGGTGTTGCCGCATCCTTCATCTTCTCCGTTTGATCTCCAATGGCTATCGCTTCATGATCAGGTCAGCTAAAATTCCTTCGTTTGTGTTTTAATTATATAACCACATAAAGTTTACAAGTACATCTTTCTTATTTGTAATGGAATCCTTGCTTTTCTTGCAAAAACTTCGACTAATTCTTGCTGTTGCAGTTGCAATGATGAATCCGATGAGGATGGCATCGCTTATGTGGCTGACGAAGGAGAAGAAGAACCAACGTTGACTTCAGAAGAAGAAGAAGAACCAACGTTGACTTCAGAAGAAGTTGGACAACTACAAGATCTAGAAAAACAACAAAATGGTTCTTTATATACAGAGAACCATGAAGAAATGCAGCCTGAAGCTTTCGTTGAAGAAGAAGAAGAAGAAGAAGTGAGTGAGTCTTTGATGAAGCAAGGAGAAGAAGAAACGGAAACGCAAGAGCTAGCAACAAATTCTGACGTTGGAGATGATCAGTACGACTTAACGAGCAGTACAGATGAATTGAACAAGAAAATCGAAGAGTTCATAAGAAAAATGAAGGAGGAAATCAGGATAGAAGCCCAACGCCAACCCATTATTGCCGCTTAATTAAGGGGATCTTAGATTTTTGTCCAAAAGCTTAAGCTGCATCTGTGAGGCATGTTTTCTCTAGTTTGTAAACTGATTGTATCATCATCATCATCATCATCAGTATGTCTCCACTACTATTGTAGGTAGACTAGATAGCACTAGAACCTCCCTTATTATGTTGTTATTTCCATTGTATATATTATTTTCTTGTTAATTAATTATGAGTCTTATAAGCCTGTACCAAGCTAACTTAGCTTTTAAGTTCAAATCTCTTTCCTCGTATTCATGTATGATGAGTAATATGATGTATCAGAGTACTTTAGGCTCAAGTTTTTATACCCTAAACCTAATGTAGCAAAAAAATTCGACACTAACGACATTCCTGGTACATCAAGTGCAATTCGTGCTATCACTGCTCAATTTCAAAGGGATTTAATTAAGTTGCTTACAATGAAGCACCGGAATATTCCACCATAAACTAAAACTATATTAAACAATAGTATGCCAACAGGATCCTCTCCGAATTTTTTGGTTATGTGATCAGTTTTTATTAAGTAATGTTTGTGTTTAATTTTAAATAAAAATATTTAAAATAGTTTCTTATAGTATAATGTACGATGAACGGATACGATTCACGGATCTCTAAAATCTTCACAAAGATGATCCAGAGATTGCATTGTTTAAACAAGTTAATCCACTCTAAACACCAGCACTAGCCACGTACACGGAACGAATCCACTAATGGACTAATGAATTAATTAATTAATTAAGCTTACCTACTCCTCTATCATTAATAGTGAAATGAAAATCAGATATTATTTGACAATTAGGCAAATTTAGGACATTAATCAATGGATTGGAGGACCATCACATCACTGTTTTTCCATTTCATGTCAAATTGGTTTTTGCCTTTTTGTCATCTACTAGTTTTGTGGAGTGTGCGAAACCGACCATTCGATGCGCTTCAACTTTTGTGGCTACAAATAATCCAATATGCAGCTTTCACTTTCATTCTTGCTCTCTCTATACACTGTTAAGATTACTAATATCACCGACGCTCTGGACTCTCTCGATCTCTCCTCTTTCCCTCGTCTTTCCCTGTAGGGTAATCTACTGTACGTAGGGCCCCCTGTCCAAATGTTGATCGATGAAATTGGTTGGCGTCATCGTGACAATTCAATGAATTATTACCTAATTACCTTCATAAAAAAAATATGTTTTTTTAAAGAGAGATACTATTTCCCCAATTGGGAAATATGAGTCAAAGCAATAACAAGAATATTTCTACTGGAACATCTTTTACAATCCCTGGAAAGAGAGTTCACTAAAACCAACTCTAATGGTGGGCTAAAAGTCAAATTACCCCCCAAAATTTCCCCCCAAACCCACTCCAACCCAAGGGGAAAATTTGGGCTAAATGCTAAATGCTAAACCAATGCCAGATTCCCCCCGAAATTTAGCCCAGAAATCGGAATTTAAATTTTTCAATATTTATCGGAATTTAAATTTTTTTAGATTAAAATGTTCATAAAATTAATTTACGATAGTCTACATATTGATTTAAAAAAAATATTTAACAAAAAAATTAGCCTAAGTTCATTCTTTAATAATCTCATGCTAAAATTTTAAGCTCGAACGGTTGAAGTAGAAAAGCCATTTCTGGGCTAAAAGCTAAATTTTCCGGGCTATAGCCCAACCATTGGAGATGGTCTAATAGCCCGAGGGATAAGTAATTCCCAATGATTACTATCTTATTTGTCAAAGAAAAATAGAATATGTCTGCTAAATTTACAATCATCACTTATGAACGAAGGGAAAGATCTAGAACTAGACGGGGCAAGTTATGGATAAGAATGTCCGCCCACATCATTCGTGCAATCTCTCACAAGAAAGGGATTCCCTGTATTGGAGGTGTGATCAGTGTGGAGCTGGTCGGTAACCAAATACGGGGGATCTCCTTTACTGCAAGACGAGGACAAGATGTTGGTGGCAATTACCAAACATATGTGGCATGCCATCAGTTCCAGTACTATCTACCGCAAGATATTAGTACAAGCAAATAGCTTGGTCGCACACTTCAGGCACCCACCATAATGAGATTCAAATGCGCATTTTAAACCTAAGGCTTGGTAAGTTATCCAAAAAGAAGGGGCAAGAGCACACAAATTAAGAGGAAGAAACTATGCTTCCCTATTCAGATATTGCTAAAGTAATATAGAGAGTACATCACCTTAGGTAAGTTCCTCTCTCCACATCCTGTGTGTGTTGTGAATCTTGTCGTATTAATACATCAGCGAGTTACAAAGTCTATTTTCAAGGTACTTCTGAATTCTGATTATCCCTTCTCAACACGTTAACAGTTTCCCGCTTTAAACAAGAAAAACAGAATGCAAAGTAATATTGTACCATCGCCTTACCTTGGGATCATAGCTTTTTTAACTCTGAATGTACTCTCAATTCCACAAAGCATGTTGCAGTTGCATTTGTTACCAATACAATACACATGATCAACTGCTTTAAATTAGCCAGTAGGGGAAAATGTCAGATCCATAGCTACTCCTCCACATTCTGGCATATTTCTAACCTCATTGAGAATCCTTGTGAGTTGTGTTGTCAATTCCCTGCGAACATAATCAGAACGCTCCTTTGTAATTGATGACTCTGTAAACAGGGTTTCAGTGAGGCATTGATAATCTTGAATCCATTCATCATCACTAGTCCCGGCAATGTGGTCATTGTAAAAATCAAGAGAGCCTTCTTTCCGCCATCTGTTTAAACAGTATTTGTCAGGGAGCTGAAAGTAGTTCTTTACCACATATATACGCAGAGAATGTCTGCATAACAATCCTGAAGATTCAAACTCTTTACAGGAACAGTGAATCTGTTCCTCTTCTGGTATCCATATCACAAGACGCTCTCCATCAATCTTCTTAAAGTGCTGCACAAGATATGACCCATTGGCCATTTCAGACACTGCATATTGCATGGCGAGTACAAGTTCCTGCTGCAAAGCATTGAAGGCAAATGGCGTCAAAATACTCCTCGCATGCTCCTCCATGGGAATGCTTGTTTTAATATGCATATACTGCACATCTCGATGGGCCTGACTTTGAAAATTGGCAGAAATACCAACCTGCAAGGGTTCAAGCATAAGAAACCAATATCAATTGAAGAACTATAAGCATATACCAAAGGCAAACGTTACCAACCAATGTACCTGCTCGAAAAAGCTACGCAAACATGTTTGTGCACTGAAAACTCCTTTCAAAAATGCATCTACAGATTTTGAATATGTTGCCGTTGCCATACAAGCAAGAAAGTAACCCCTAATATAGGATTGAGCCCAGGAATCCCGGACTGAATAAAGTAAAGCAATATGCTTATCAGTAGTAAGCCCAAACACTGAAATCATTTGATTCCACTGAAGCTCAAAATCCTCTGTACTCTCCAGCCGATATAACACATCAAACTCAGATTTAAATTCTACATAGCGTGGTCCAAGTGAAACAGAGAACCAGCTAGATACCTTGGGAAGAATATTCCAAAGGGAAATGACATGCTTAGTGCCCGGTAATTCACTTCTTATTGCATCTCTAAGCCCAGGATCGAGATCAGTTAGAATTGTTTGTGGGAATCTCCCTCTCATGAAACGCACAAAAGTCTATATGAAAGAAGAAAAAATCATTGTAAGTGGACAGATACAAAGACACAGCTAATAAAAAAAATCAATATAGTAGGTGTATTGGATGGTAACCTGTAAAGCCCATGAGAAGGAACGAGGTGTTTCATCTTGTAAAAGAACACAACCAAAGAAAATGGTCCTTCCATGATTGTCAATGCCAAGCCATGCTCCAAAAAGCATGCCATATGTGATTGATTGATATGAAGTGTCAAAATAAACTGCATCACCAAACATAGTGTATGCATGGACTGAATCACCATACGACCATGCAATGTGTTCAACCTTATCATTCTCATCAACTGTAAAATCATAAACGAAATCTTCGTCTGCTTCTTTTGTTCCCTTGCATGCCTCAAGAAGTTCCAATGTATCGTTCTCCCGTTTTTCAGTGAGCAAAGCATCATTTTCTTGAACAACCTTTTTACGGTTTTGGACAAAATTTCTAACATCCCGCTCTAAGAAGGGTAACTGTCCACCTTGAATCCCCTTTTCCAACTCCAACACCTTCACTATACGATGTATGGGAAACCCAGCTTTAGAAAGTAACAGTATCCGCTCTTGATCCGCCTCATGGATTTTACGATAGGCAGGAAGGAGCCGCACTTGGTCATCTTCCAAAAGTTCATGGTTATGGACATTACTGAATTGCACGACAAACCATTGAGAAAACCCATCAACGACCTCCTTGGACAAATACATTTTTGCATCGCATCCACACCGAACTGACTTCCTATCCCTATGGTGTTCCCCTGTAGGCTTCTTCTTCATGGGTGCAAACCCCGACCGATAACAAACGAAGTCACGCTTATAAATACCCAACTGTGGGCTAAGTCGAGAGCGCTCTTTCCTAATTGAGAAACCGTTTTTCCTAGCGAAATTGCCATAATACTCAAACGCATCATCGTCACTCTTAAACACCATTCCAACATAGGGGGAAACCATAGCCTCTGATGTCGTACTATCATTCTTAACCAATTGGGATGCTATGGATGATGCCTCTTCAGAGTCTCCCTCATATGTCACATAGCATTTCCAGTCCCCACAGGGGCATTGCTGCCGCCGAATCCATATGTTTTTCGATGGGACAGAAGTCATTGATTAGTATTTACACTTCAAAATCAACTCCCACTCCAAGACTCAACCTTTAGCTACTCTAATAATCTTCTTGACCACGAAAGCTAGCTCGCAGTATAACCACAAACCCTTTAACAAAATTAAAAATTGAAAGAAATAAGAAATGGGTTGTTCTAAATGTTCAGAATGCAAAGAAAAACAATATATGCAACAAAATGGCAGAGAGAGCGGAAAGGGGGTTTAACATAACAGATTGGAGAAAGCAAATCAGACCCAGAAAACAAAAAAGATAACATTTTTAGAAATATATCGAATAGAATAAAAGAGCAAGGACGGAAGGGGACGTACCAGTGAAAGAATGACTATGAGTGAGGGAAGGATGTGCTAAAACCCTTGTTCCGTCTTCTGCTTCTTCCTCCTCCGCATCCGACTGGACTGACCGAGTGTCCCTGTCCTTTTACCTTTTTCGTCTTTCCCCTCCGATACAAGTAAAATTAAATGGGTCGGGCCTGTTAATGGGCTAGTGTTATGTTAGCCCACACTGTTGGGCATACTCTGAATTCGACAGCATTCGGGCTTCAGCCCTTCATTTGTTTTCTGACGGCTTCTGTAACAGTTAAAATACCTTTTTTGGGCAATTTTGTAAAAAATATTTAGAAAAGGTGATTTATGACGTTTTTGTAGTGTCCAGAGTAATCTCTCTTTACCTTTTTAGACCATCTCCAACCGAAGGAGGGTTAGATGGCTCGTTTTAGTCATCTGGTCCTTTAAGAAATTAATATTTTAATGAATAGTGCAGGATCATATTTATTACCATCTCCAACCGAGGGGCCAGAGGGCCATAGGCCAAACATTGCTCTGTGACAAAAAACCATCTCCAACCGAGGGTCAAGGAGCTATAGTATGGAATGTGAAGAATTGAAATAAATGAGATAAGATAGTATGTAATGGTGAAAAATATGTGAGAAATAATGCATGAAAACATTAGAAATTAAAAAAAAAAACGTCCATAAAAAAAAGGTGGGCTGGGATTAAAAGAAAAAGAAAAATGGGTTGGGACAAAAAAAAATCATAAACCTAACCCTCAGTTGTAGACAGTTTTCAGACCATTTTCAGCCTTTTGAACACTTCGGTTGGAGATGATCTTAGCTTTGCATAACCATCATCTTTTTTTGTGCTAGAGATCCCACGATTAGGAGTCCTAGATAAATGTGGAGGAGGCGACATTCTCAACATAACTTTTGAAAATTGAGTGATGAGAATTATGCTTATAAGAATTTATAATAACGGAGAATCACTCTTTAGAAATCTCATTGCTCATGAAAAGTATGAACCAGCTAGTGCAAGTAAATTGACATCTTCTTATGCTATATATCACCTTAATAAATCATATTTTATTCCCACAAGGGCGCATAAGGAGCATGTATTAAGGCTATGCTTGGGCTTAAAGCAAGGTTAAGATTGACCGAAATTAAGCGCATGAAATGGAAAGGTTGGAATGAACATGTACTTTCGCACTTGATGAGATGTGAAAAAGTGAGAGTCAAACATGCGGTGCGTCCAAGTGGATTTCAAATGCCACAAATAAGTCGCTTAGCGGTGTAAATCTACCCAGTTGGAAGCACCAGAGCGATTCTTGGTCGCTTCTTTATCACTCTCCTGCCGAAATAGAAAATAATAGTAATGTTCCTTGCATTTCCCTTGCTTGGTCATTGGTAATTGGTAATTTGGTATGATATGTAGAACATCAGCATGCATTTATTTTCTCAGTTTCTACTTTCTGCAGGGTATCCGATCAGTCCGCTTTTCTTTGATTGAGGAAACTACTGGATTAAGATGTTGAGGCTGCCAAGATACTTTTAATCCCCTTTTTCTTCCGTTCAGTGTCATTTAGGTAAGGTAGCAAGTCATTGAATTTTTTACCTTTTTAATGCAGAAAGTCATTTGATTTTAACAACCATAAGAATTTAATTGAATTTTGAACGGACATTTTGTTTGATCGTTGTCCTTCTGTGTTTCAATTCTTATTAAATAATTTGGTTTGGAAAAAAATTATGTCGTTTTCGATTCCCTACTGCAGGTCCTTTGCTTTAGCAGATGAATCTTAACGTAATGCTTTAAATCTGATGGCTACTGATTTTAGCGACGATGTTAAAGAAGCCTTACTTTCTGAAAAGAAAGATCATTCTCAACTCAATACTGAAACAAATGTCGTCCATAGAAGAAGAAATCGCCTTTATAGCATTAGCACTACCCCATGTCCATCATTCAAGAACCGCGTACAACAAAATGAAGCGGAATCTCAATGTCCTGTAGATTCTGGTCCGCTCTATGTAAAACCACAATTCAGTCTAACGCAAGTACTTTTGTTGTTGATTGCATACATTGGTGGAGGCACATTTTGCTTTTTCCTGATGAGGCATCAGATAAAGGGTAAGAAAACGAATGCCATTCTGGACTCCATGTACTTGTGTATAGTCACAATGAGCACTGTTGGTTACGGGGACCTTGTGCCAGATAGCATGTTGGCAAAGCTAGTTGCATGCGTTTATGTGTTCATCGGCATGGCCCTTGTTGGCATAATTCTTGGCAAGGCAGCAGATTACCTTGTAGAGAAGCAGGAAATCCTTTTGGTTAGAGCTATACATTTTCGCGAAAAATTTGGGCCACCGGAGCTTCTTAAGGAGGTTGAGACCGAAAAAGTCAAGTTCAAATGTATTACTGTCGGAATCCTTCTTTTGATTCTTATTATAGTAGGTACTGTCTTCTTATGTCTAGTTGAGAATCTGGAAGTTACGGATGCTCTCTATTGCGTTTGTTCCACTATAACTACACTAGGCTATGGGGACGAGAGTTTCTCAACGGGAGCTGGTCGTATTTTCGCTGTTTTTTGGATACTGAGCAGCACCATTTGTTTAGCACAGTTCTTTCTCTACCTTGCTGAACTATACACTGAAAGAAGGCAAAGATCACTTGTGAAGTGGGTTCTTACGAGGAGATTAACACCCTCGGATCTTGAGGAAGCAGATCTTGATCATGATAAAGTCGTTAGGTACGAATATAAATTACAATCCTCGTCCATGCTTTATCTTATTGTTTGTAAATAATTAAGATATTTCAATTCTCATGCGGCTGGCTTGTTGAATTCATTTATGTATCAGTGCGGCAGAGTTTATCGTATATAAGCTAAAGGAGATGGGGAAGATCAACCAGGAAGATATTGCACTGGTGATGGAAGCGTTCAACAAACTTGACATTGATCATTCAGGAACTTTGACGGCATCTGATTTAATATCAATACCATCTCAACCAACAACTTAAAGTTTAAAAGTTGATACGTCTGAACTCTTTTATGCATTGCAAACTGAATCCATTTATCAATGGAACTTGCAAAATGAGAGTCTGTACAAAGCAAGCTCGGAATCGTTCGATGACATATCTACATTTTTTTCAGGCATTCTACAGTAGTTTAGCTTTGATCCGTATATTTACTCTTGGTACCCTCACTTATCGGTTGAACGAGTTTTACGTCCGCACAAACGTATATGACCAAAAACACAAATTTTGGGTCTGTGGGACTGAGCGTTTTGTACGTGCCATGCACCAGTTTCAAGATAAGATAGGACTGGGCATCTTGGCATTTGTAACATCAGCACGTATGAAACAACATAAATACAACGAACACATACAAGAAACTAGTTTTCCCGATCACATTTGCCTGGAAAATCTGTTATACTATCTGTAAACTGTACAAAAACCATGACGCCAGAGGGAAGATAAAAACCCAAAATCCTAGCATTCAAAAATGGTGCACCTCTGGAATGATGGCCAAACAAGGCTGCCATTTTGGAGGCTCCAACCCAAACCTCCCTGACAATCGAACACCATTTTCTTTCGACCGAAGCTTGTTCGCACTCTTCAACAACAACTTCAACTCTTCCCTAGTCACCACGATCTTAATCTTCTTTCCTTTGCATCCTTCTTGGCGGACTAGTTTTGAAGGAACCAGGGCCTTTCCGAGGAGAATTGCAATGTCTGGCACGAGATGGTAAACCTCAACGGGGTCTAGCTTGGTGTCGGGTGCCAATGGCATATGCGGTTGGGCCAGCTTGTAGCCAGTGTGAGGGCTGGATGCGATTGCTTGGACTGGTGTTGAGGATTTGAATTTGTGTTGTCCACCCTCACGGATTACTACTTTAATCTTCTCGTGGGGCGGGTGGGACATAAAATTTATGCAGTTTCCCATTGTTTGGTTTGACTTGGCAGAGAGAAATGCAAATTATGGATTAGGAATTTCGGGCTCTCGCGAATTTATAGTGTGTGGCTTTGATCAATTTTCACGTGGGAGGAAGTTCGACGTGCAAGCCATGACACTGCTTCTTTAGTTATGATATATTATCTAAGTACCTCCAAGTCAATGGTCTGTGGAGATTGTTCATTGCACCACAGCCACAACATGAAGTTTATATTCAAAGTATCCGATGTCAACTCCAAAAAACAATGTTGAACTTAACTATATGTTTTATGTATTTGTTAAACAAATGTTGTTGATGCACAAAACCGGAGGGGTCTTGGAACAACGTAAATCTGACCGTAAATCTGCAAGAAAGTAAATAACACAAGATGTATCGTGGTTCACCCCAATATTTGGGCTACGTCCATACTGATATTGTATTTCTCTAAGAGGATTGTGAGGGAGAGAGTCTCTGTATGTGAGGATGAGAGCTCCTCTGTTTGTGAGGGTGAGAGTGAGGCCTCCCTTATTGTGAGGGTGAGGTGTCCCTTTTATAGACTAAGAGCTCCTCACTTATTACATATTTGCCCCTTCATTTATTACATAATTACATTTGAGTTCCCCGAGTATTTATACGAGGTCTAAATACGGACGCCCTAAATATGGTACAAACAAATGTCAATGAGGCCTCGAATCGAATTACACAGGAAGCCTGAGTCAGCTAGCCACAATATAATAGCTTCGGCTCTCAATTTCAACCAAAAGAGATGCAGAAGACCAAATGTCTACATGATTCTATCACAAGCAAATAAAATCCCCTGGATCTCGAGAATTATAATAGCGGAAATAAGCCTAAAAAAGTAAGCACCTAAGGTTGCTTCAGTCTGTGACAGTGCCAATTGGCCTTTCCTATAGCCTGGATGGAAACAGAAGTTACAACAATACACTTGTTTTGTACCTCCTGTCATTCTCATGTTGCAATAAGGAATTTTCAAAACTTTCGTAGCATACAAAAGGAAACTGGACTTTTTCACTTATTCGATTTCTTAAAACTCATTCAGCTATGATCTAACCGATGATGTTATTCAAATCACATCTCACATATAGACGCATTACTACTGAGTACGATGCAAGATTTCTAAGAACTTCACTAACTTTATAAGACTAATGAAAGAAGATTTCATAGTTGAATTCTAATGGTACAAAACGGTTCTCTACGCCTAGAGAGAATTCAAAAAACATATAAGTAGAGAACTGAGAAGCAGCAAATACCAGTTTCACATTACATTTTCAGTGTGATGAGCTTTTTTAGTAAACTAAATAGCCTAACATCTAAGCAGTAACTAACTCAGATGAACTTCTAGATTCTAACCATGACATGACTGCAACCCTTGTTGTCAAAAACCATCCAGCCTTGTCTGAGGCCTCATGGAATGGAGCATTCAATTCCTTCAAATGCGACCCAAATACACTCGCCAGACCTTTGTCTGAATACTTATGTTTTCCATGTCCAGTATTAATTCCAAGCAACGGCGGAAGTTCCTCACTAGATTCCAATACCCAAGACAGGTCATTGATCCAAATATGTAATGCAGTCAGAGCTGCCCCAAGAGAGAGGCCCTTGAGATACAGAGACCACTGGGTCTGAGACCTTGACTGTAAGCCTATGTATATCCGAAGTGTGATCCCCAAGTCTAGTAGCTCACAGGCTCTCTCCAAGAGATTGAGGTTCACACAAAGATCAATCAGGCAATTGCAGTAAGCCTTCTTTACATCCAAACCAATTGAGTTAAAAAGTTGTGATGCTTCGTTCTTGAACTTTTCACTACTGTCTTGCTTTTCCACCAAAAGTCTTACCACATACCATAGTTTTTCATCAGCCCTCTCAATGCAGTTCGCAAGCTTGCAAAGTTCTTCCTTTGGTGTTTGAGTCATCACATTCAGGAAACAACCACAGAAACGCTCATCTGGTGTTATACCCAATTCTAGGAGTTGATTGAATATCCTGACAACGTCATCAGTGCGTTTTGCCTTACCGTAGCATTGGATAAGTGATGTCAAAATAAAGATATTTTGCTCAAAACCAGCTTCCAACATCTCATTCAATGTAGCTTCTGCTTCTGTAACTTTCCCACTACAGGAATATATGGTAATCATGGACGAAAATGACCAACTGTCAGGCTTCAGTGTTTCAGAAGTCTTCATTTCTTCAAAAATCTCAACGGCTTCGTTGGTGTAACCAACATCAGCACACATAGCTAAAAGGGTGTTATAGAGAATTACATTTAACTCCAGTCCCTTTTCCTTCATCTCTTTATAAACATTAAGAGCATCATCACTGTAGCGAGCTCTACCATAGGCCCTTAAAAGACTTGCATAGGTTACCCAATTTGGTGAAAGCTCCTTGCTGATCACTCTCGGTAAATTTTCTTGGCCTGCCAAGGCTTCCTAGCTCTTCCCATAGCATCCAACAAAGTGTTATAAATAACCAAGTTTGGCTTAGCCCCTATAGCTTTCATTTCCTCATAAACATTCAAGCACCCATCAAAATTCCCCGATTGCCCGTGAATTTTGATTAATGTAGAAAACGCCACTGGATCAATGCGCCACTTCTCAGTCCTGGCCCGGTCGTACAAACTGAAAGCCATTTCAACCTTACCAGCACGTCCATAGGCGTCGATCATAGCCGAATAGGTAACATCATCTGGATTACACCCAAAACAGGGCATATTCTCAAACTACTCCACAGCCTTCTTAGGCAAAGAACACATCCTAGAGCAACTAATCATAGTCGAAAAAATAACATTATCGGGTTTAACACCTCTCTGGAGTATTTTGTCGAACAACTTCTCTGCTCTCTCCATATCCCTACCCTTCCTACACACTTTCAAAGTCACATTATACAAAATCACCTCCCGCTTCGGTTTACTCTGCTGAAAGTAGTTAAGCGCAAGCAAAGCATTTTCCGGATTGTTCATGTTATTCAGAACCACCACAGCGTCTTGTTCCAGAAAATTATCCCCTAAATCTTTTAAAGCTTCGAAAACATCACTTTCAATCGCAGTGCAAGAGTTCAAATACTCAGCTACCTTCACCAAAGAAGCGTACCTGGAATCGTAGGACTTATGCCGCAGCTGTGAAGCTCTGGGGCTGCTGGGATTGACCCAGATATAGCTTTTCGACAAAGACTCGGAATTTCCATCTGGGCTCTGAATATTTCCAATTTCTGGAGCTTTGGAGTTCTGGGCTTCTTCTGCAACTGGGTCTTGCAAAGAAACATGGTGTATTTGCAGAGAGGTACTTGACTGAAATTGCAGTGAAGGAAAACTGAGTCTGTGGGTGTTAATTGCAGAGCTTTGGAATCGGAAATCAGTCGGGGAAGAAGAAGAAGGGAGAGAGCGGGATGGAGTTTGGGGGTTGCGGAAGAAAAAAGAAGGTGAAGAGCACAAGTGACAAGCCATTTTCCTCACCCTGTGGGGGATTATGAAAGGTGCTTTTCTTTTCTTTGCATTCAGAGAGGCAAATTTGTCAGCCTGCAGCGTGGACAAATACCTTTTTGAACTTGTATCGGGCCTGGATGTGATTTTACGGGTTCGGAAGATGTTCGAAGCCCAACTTAGATTCCCAAGAGCTTTACGATTAGATAAATAGTTGATTGAAATAGGCATTGTTTTGTATTAAGGAAAATGTTATAACTAAGCTTTTTCATAGCAGTTTTATCATATCAATCAATTCTCGAACAAACAAAAGGAGAATGGAATGAAAAGCAGGCCCAGGAGAAGTTCTTCCTGCTGGGAACATATTATTGCACACGTATCTAGGTTGTTGCTGCTGCTCTCTCTCTCTCTTGTGTTGACATTTGGAAGGGTTACGGGATCAAGGATTTGTTTAGTTTAGTGCAATGTCAAAGAAACGAAAATTGTAAACAAAATTTACAAACTAAATGATGTGTCACTAATAAGAAATTAACACATTTATAATCACTTAAGTAATAATCCAATCATTAATTTTGATGTCATTTACTTTACAAAATTTGGCTACAAATTTAGTCTTCCTAGCATTACTTTTTAGTTTATGGTAGAATCTAACGATTTGGGGACTGAAAATAATGATATAGTTGAGCATTGTTAGACAAGGATTGGTCGCTAAATTTCATTCTTTAGTTTACTCATATGAGCCATGGCAGGCCAAGGGTTTGCTTCTAGGTGGGAAATTTATGTGAATTGGAACACATTATCTTGATCAACTAGTGTAACTCATATAAGTCCCGGGAAGCCAAGAGATTGCTTCTGGGTGGGTCTTTATTTAGGAAAATTAATGAAAATGGCTTCAAAACTTTGAGTTTTAACCAAAACCACCTACTAACTTTATTTAATGATAAGGACAAGAGAGAGAGAAAAACCTAACACTAATCGG